GTCCTTGCTTTTCATAACTTTGAATACTTTTTGCCAGTCCCTTCTAGGCTGCAAAGTTTCTTTTGAGAAATCTGCTGACAGTCTTATGGGAACTCCTTTGTAGGTAACTCTCTGCTTTTTTTAAAAATGTAAATAGTGTTTTCCTATACATTTTTTTCTTTTTTAACTGTTACTAAAGTATAGTTGTCTCCATTTTCCTCCCACTAGTCCCTCCACCCCACCCATCCCCACCTCCTACACCCTCTATGTGTATTTTATACATATTCCTTAACAACTCTTAAGATTCTCTCTTCATCTTTAACCTTTGGCATTTTAATTATGATGTGTCTTGGTGTGGTCCTCTGTGGGTCCATCTTGTTTGGGACTGTGTGCATTCTGGACTTGTATGTCTATATCCTTCACCAAATTAGGGAAGTTTTCTTTCATTATTTTGTCTCATAAGTTTTCAATTTCTAGCTCTTCTTGTTCTCTTGCTGGCACCCCTATGATTCAGATGTTGGTACATTTAAAGATGTCCCAGAGGTTCCTAAGTCTATCCTCATTTGTTTTGAATTCTTTTTTCTTCTTGTTGTTCTGATTGAACACTTTTTCCTTCCTTGTGTTCCAGATTGTTGATTGGATTCTCGACTTCATCCCCTCCACTGTTGATTCCCAGTAGATTTTTCTTTATTTCACATAGTGCAACCTTCATTGCTGCCTGTGTCTTTTTTATACTGTTGAAGTACCCAATGAGTTCCTGGAGCATCCTGATAACCAGTGTTTTGAACTGTGCATCTGATAGATTGCTTATCTCCATTTTGTTCAGTTCTTTTTCTAGAGTTTTGTTCTATTCTTTCATTTGGGCCATATTTCTTTGTCTCCTCATTTTGGCAGCCTCCCTGTATTTGTTTCTATGTATTAGGTAGAGCTGCTTTGACTCCCTGCCTTAGTGCACCTGTTAAGTTGTATGGGACAGAGCCTCAGGTGTTCACCAGGGTATGGCAACCCTTGTCACCACTCTTTTGCTCTGCGTGGGGGAGGGCTTGCAGAGGCGGTAATGCTGCTGCCTGGCCTCTGGAGTTTTTCCCAGAATGAAGCTGTCTCCCTCCTCGTACTTCACTTTCTCCCCATTTACCACTAGTGCACTTCCAGCGGTTGCCCTGGTGCTGAATCCCAGATTGGGTGAGACTGTGTGAGTCCTAAGTCTGTTGCAGGCCTTTTAAGAGGACACAGTTTCTTCTGCCGCCCAAACCCCCACTGGTTTTTACAGCCAGAAGTTATGGGGACTTATCTTCCTGGTGCTGGGACCCTGGGCTGGAATCCTTCCCTCTGGAGGTATCCCTTCTGTTTGTTATCCACAATATGTGCATGTGGGACTGCCTATATCCATCTCCACGTCTCCATCCCTCTCTGTGTCTCTGCTCCTCTTACCCATCTGAATGAATGTGGCTTATTTAAATCCTTGTTTGTTGGACTTCCATACAGTTAAATTTTCTGACGATTCCCAGTGATACTTGTTTTGTAGTGTAGCTGTATTTTTTGCTGTAATTGTGTGCACAGGTGAGGGATGATTACCTACACTTCTATTTTGACTGGAAGTCAAGTATTTTCTTCTGTAGGCATTGAAGGTTCTGAGAAGTCTTGTGGCTGTGCTTTTGTAACTTTAACTTCAAGTTTTCCAGGTATCTTTGATAACAGAACCTTTTTGTTTATTCCATGTTTTGGGATGTAGTTTTCTATGACATGCTTAGAGAAGAAGTATTACATAAATTACCACCTGTATATTGTATAAAATATGGAAAACACACACAAAAGAGAAAAAACATATTATTCATGGGAGCCTCTATTAAAATGTTGATGTGCTTCTATACACTTTTTTCCATGCCCTAATCATCCTATACATGCTGTATCTCCCTTTTTTCACTTAACATTATAAAGCATATTAGCATAATTCAGAATTCTTTCTAAGAATGATTTTAATAATTGTGTAATGATTCATCATGTGGTTTTACTATAGTTTACCATTTTTCTCATTGTATATTTATTCAGTTGTTTTCAATTTTTCATCATTATAAATTATAACTGTAGGAACAAATATCTTCATAGAGAAAGTCTTTTCCATATTTCAGATTATTTTTTCATGATAAATTCCTAGAAGTTGGTGATTATTACAAAAGGCATGAGCTTTCTTCAAGGCTTTTTATAAATAAATGCCAAATTATTTTCCATAAAAACCATAGTGTTACATAGTTCATCCAGCAACATATAGCATATTCTCACAAGCATTATGTATTAACATTAAAACTAATCTTTACATATTTGAAAGTAAAAGTGATTATCTTTTTATTTTGTTATTCTGTGATAATCAGTAAAGTTTGATTTTTTAAAACACTGGTGTTATTGCTATTTATTAATTTTTCAGATGTTATTAGTCATGTATTCTAAATTTTCTAAACCACAATAGTTTATGTCATAAGAATATGTAATTACATTGAAAAGTTTTTGGTAGCATAGTGGTGTTTTAAAATGTAATTAATGCATTTATAGATTTTGATGTATATATACTGTGTATTAAAATATTTTTTAATATTTTTAATGTGGACAGGTTGACTTACTCATTTACTCCAAAATACAAAATACACAAAAGTGAAGACCATTTTAAATGGGAGCACTAAAAAATTAAATGGCTTAAATTGTGAGCTCCTGTAAATATTCAAGCTGAGATCAGATTAGTACCTGATTGCCCTGTGAGAAAGTAACTCGAAAGAACCTTCTAAATTTCAGTGTTTTTGTGAGTAATTTGGTGCTTATTTAAATATTTAAACCAACAGAAGTAATTTTTATTGCATCTAGTGTTAACTAGTTTGACATTTAATTATAAGTCAGTCTATATTTTTCCTATGAAATATTTGTTTTTTCCATGTGTAATGGACTCAGTCCTGGGATTTTGAGGGCATGTTGCCCCTCTTTTCTGTGATGTCTTGTCTTAGTTCATGTCACTGCACTCGTGAGACTTTATCAAAAGGCAAGAAGAACAGATTCAATTTTCAGACCTATGAAATTTTTTGTGAATATAAAATTTCAGACAGTGTTTTTATAGAACTTTCAGTCCACAAAGTATGTTAGGATTCATTATTATTCTATATTTTTTTCAATAAAATGAGTGGTTGGATTCCAAAATTGATGTAAACTAACCATTCTGTGGTTGTTGCTGTTGTTAATACTTTTTAAATAAAAACAAATGTCTAGAAAAAAACTAAGGTTTTGGTTTTCATATACTTAGGATCTATGTATTTTATTCTTTTGGTAAACCTAGTGACTACTAAACATCATGTTCTTTTTCATAAATTGTTGTTACATTGCTAGAAGAGTTTCGTGTTCCTTTAAGTGTCCAGATGAAAAAAAGAGGATACTCTCCTCTTTATTATGGCAAACTGTCAGTAATGCCTTGGGTGGTTTTACTACACAGATCCTTTGTGATTTGCATCTTATTGTGAAATTTCCATGAAAGGAAGATTCTATTGTTCTGTCCTTCAGCTTGTTTCCTTTACTTGTTATAATAACCTTATAAGGTAAAAGAAATTTGAGAGTACAAATGGAAGGTCTGTTTGAGAGTACACATGGAAAGTTACGCAACTCACAGAGTATATAATTCTATATAGCAGTAACCAAGTGTTAGCATCTATTCTGGCCTCTCATTAGGTTAGTCTGTTTTCAGTCAGTGTTTGCCCAAGCTAACCAAATTAATTATTGGAAAATTCATTTGCTACTAAAAATGTTTGGAGGTTGTTACTAGGTTATGTTCATAGAGACCAAATATCCTTTGCTAGCATCTTCTTTCTCTATAAGTAAAATGTTCTCATAGTTTGTAGTTTAAAATTATTGCTTATTACTTACAATGGTACATTTCTTGAACTTTGCACTTGATGACTTATCCTCAGGTTTGTGTAATATAAGAGGAACCAAACTGCTTCTGGCATTATTAAACATAACATGTACCTTAGTACTGGGTAAATGGCCTTTGAATTATTAGAAACTTTCCTAATAATTTAGTTACTGTTCTTGACTACAGCCAGTATATTGTAATATGTAAGAACTTTTGGCCTTAGCTTCATTCTAGTAAGTAATTTACTGTAACTTTGAAATTCCTCATCTGAAAAGTCAGGATAATGATAGTTGCTACTTTGGTTCTTTTTCATGATTATATGAGAAAATTGCTTTAAATCAATTACTGCAACTATTAGTCCATGTTAACCAAAGGAACAGTAATAATACAAAAAGCATATATTAAAAATAATTATTTTGAATTTGGAAATAGTCAAGTCTGTACATGGATTATTGTCCTCCTTTCCTTGCTCTCTCCTTTTCACACTCATTACTGATAACTTGTCATGCCAGGCACAGTCCTGACAGAGAGACACAAATGTGACATGGTCATCACCTTCACTGAAATTATAGCCTAATGGAAGAACTTACAGTTTAGTTTTAACGTAACAAATAAACTTGCAGAAACAGTTAAGAATATAAATACAAAATAAATACTCATTTGGTGACTAGTTCAACCAGAATTTATTCAATCTCTTCACAAAAAGGCCAATATCCTATGATGGATTCATGGATATTAGGGGGAAAGGCAGATACTGTTGGGGTTGATTCTGATGAGATGTTTCAGGAACCACTCAAGGATCAAAAAGTCATATTTATTATCCTTTGAACTTTTGGATAGGGAATAGCTTTAATGTAAAGATTAACATGAGTGCATTAGTAAACATGGTTGTTATTTGTCTTTCCTCATTTGAGTGTGTAGAGAACTAATGTGTGTAAGGGTATTACTGGATCTTGCAGCATTTCAGTTCTATAAACTAATTAATAGAATGTGAATAGTCACAATTATGAGTTATGGAAGTGTAAATTTTGATGATTGCATATAATAAAGTATATAATAATATAAAATCCATTAATAAATTTACAACTTTACAAAATTTTTGTCTTTTTCTATTTTCTCTCTTTTTTTCTCCTAGAGCATCTGCTACATCCAAGCCTGAACCAGTTGCTGTTCAAAAGGTGTGTTTCTAATCTAGTATCACTAGGGTACCATATAATAGTTCCTTCTGAACTATTGTAATTTCCATTGCTTTCTAAGACCATACTGACAATTTATAGTTTTAATGTAATTTTCCTCATAGTTCCTTACTTTAAAGATAACAGGGGACAATGGAAATCAATACATACAAAATTACCATCTCTCTAAATATACCTATATTTTAAAACATTATTCCAGTGCTATATATTATCAGTAACTTATGTCCAAATATTTTACATTTACTTTTAACTTCCCTGTTTTTATTCAAATATTCTAAAAAATAAATGGTTACTAAAAATGAATGTCACAAGTCTTTAATCACATTTTATTTATAATATTAATAATTTTTAAATTACATTTTCCAAGTATTCTTGGATTAGGTTATTGGTAAATACCCTTTTTCTCTCACATATACCCTCAAATTCTCCCAAATGATTATTCATACACATCTGCTTTATGCCAGTTAGGGTTTTCTTTAATTTTAATTGTGCCTTTCTATCAAATTACTTATTATATTCACTTACTGAGATATTTAGGTATATCCCCCCTCTGTTAGCTCTATTATTTTCTCAAGATTAATTTAGATTATCTTTGTTTTCTTAAACATTGCCATTGTACACTTTTTAAAGAATTTGTTTTTATTCCAGAATGGTAGAGTGAACAGGGATTTATTCTTCAATTTTTTTTAAAAAAAATGTATACTTGCTTTGGAATAGGGATTTGTAAGTACAAATTCTGTTAATTTTAGGAGGATTTGGTCTTTACTAGTTACTTTTTTCTTTGGCTGATAGCAGTGAAGAAATATCTTAGATCATTTTTTCCCCTATGTAACTATTAAATATTTATTTTGGAAAAGGGAAAAAATTTTCTTTCTTTTTACTCGCTGAATGATATTTGAAAACATTCCAGAGAGAGGAACTGGTGGATCACAGGAAAAGGATTGATTTTTGTTTTGTTCATTGTTTTTTTGTTGAGTTTTAAAAAGCAGTTTCTTTTTAAAAAAGCAATTTCTTGACTCAAAACAATTACTTAGAATGTGCACATTTCTGAATTATATGAAAACAATCTTACTCCTTTTTTTAAATGAAGAGTTAGAAATTCACTGCCGTTTCTGCATGAATCAAATGATTATACTCTAGAAAAGTATGTTTAAACATGTTTGAAAGGTGGAATTATAATTGAGACTGGAATTTTAAAATAAACATTTTGGTTATGAATGTATTATTTATTGTGAGGTATTTAAACATTTTTCCTTTGGAATATGTCTAAATTGACACGTATCTGGTCTTTAGGCTTTTTGATAGCTTTCCTGCTCTATTTTCTAAATATTTTGAAACTGTTTTCATTTTTATTAAAAAAATGTACTCAGTGTGTGCATCTGTGTTAGGCATGTTGGGGAGAGTTAGCATGCATGGTATGCAATATCAACTTAATTGTTTTTATCTGGAAACATGTAAGGTTTGAGCTGCTAACATTATTGTGTTTGTCTTTTTAAAAATGAGCTGTGTTTTTTTCAGTGAATCTATTTTGCATGTATTTGGTGTGTTTTTGTATATGTTTATTTTTATTTTACATAGGGAGAACCTAAAGAAGTAGTTAAACCTGTGCCCATTACATCTCCTGCTGTGTCCAAAGTCACTTCCACAACCAACATGGCCTACAATAAGGCACCACGGCCTTTTGGTTCTGTGTCCTCACCAAAAGTCACATCCATCCCATCACCATCGTCTGCCTTCACCCCAGCCCATGCAACCACTTCATCACATGCTTCCCCTCCACCTGTGGCTGCTGTCACTCCTCCCCCATTCGCTGCATCTGGACTGCATGCTAATGCCAATCTTAGTGCTGACCAGCGTTCACCTGCACTGAGCGCTGGTAAACCTGCAGTTAATGTCCCACGTCAGCCCACAGTCACCAGCGTGTGTTCCGAGACTGCTCAGGAGCTAGCAGAGGGACAGAGAAGAGGATCCCAGGGTGACAGTAAACAGCAAAATGGGTAGGTGGCCAAGGGTGCTTTCTGCTCTTATCAAAATTTTTCTTTCAGGCAACTTCCAGGAAACAATCTAAATTCCCCCCAAATCAGCTGTTCTTTGAAGGAAGGGAGATGAGATTTTATTTGCTTCATTAGCATGTAGCTTTATTTTATATACACGCAGCATTTTCTGCAAGGCAATTAGAAGTTAATTAAAACCTAATTATGCATTTTGACATGTTATGAATCATGTAACATATGTTATAACTCTTTTTCTCCAAGTCCTGGTACAACATTGAGCAGCTGGCACTTGTAATGCAAGGAAAATCTTTTATATTTCTTCCTTAATTTTTCCATCCCTTCATTAACCACCAAAAATTTAAACAGAGTGGGTACATTTGTGTCAGTTTTTCAGTTTATGTATGGCACCCTAAGGAGAGAGGAAATGAGGAATGTGTAAGAAGCTTTTTTTTTTCCCCCCTAGGAATTAGTTTTACAAAGACAGAAGACAAATTTAGTTTTGACTTATGTCTCTGTAAGATGCATTAGATTAGGTTAAATAGCAACATTCTTTTCAGGTAAGGTTTTGCTCGAATTTAGTCTTTAAAGGCAAACAGTAATGTCAAGGATGCTTATAAACATCAGAAGTAAATTAGAGAATATTTTTTGTGAAGATTTTTCTACAATGAATGATTTAAAGCAATGGACACTAAATATGTAATGTTAGAAGTTTCTGAAAATCTATTCCTTATAATTTTTCCCTTTTGAAGTCTGTTTGCAGCAGTCTTTATTTATAGATGGTCATTTTATTATTTTTTTGCACTCAGTGTTCATATTTTAAGCCAAAGTCATTTTTATAAATTCATTTTGACCAGATTTATTGTTCCAAAAATATACTTTAAAAAGGAAAACAAAGGAAAATAATCTGCATGTGTGATGGTTTTTACCAATGCCAGTTCCCAAGAAAATATAATTAAAAGAATTGTGTGGCTAGGTTCTTTCTGAGATAATCCCTTCCAAATGGTAATTCATGTAATAAAGGCACTGTGCTTGGGGTAGCACTGTTGCCGTGGCAACTGTGTGGCTTTGAAAAAGATGTGGCAGGGTTCCAGGCTGCTGCTGAGAGAAAGAGCAGGAGGAAGTCTGGAGGAACAGCTACTAGTCCCCACATATGGTTCTGTGGTTGTGGGTGGCTTTTTAAAGTTTTGATGTGTATATTGAAGAATTAGTGTCTCTCAAAGAATAATATTTCTTTTTCATGTGAGGTAGAAAACTATTATATAGTGTTGAAGTGTGTTTGGTTGTATTTTTTTGTATGTCTAGTTTAAGACAATAGATTTTAGAGTAATCAAAGTAGATATTACAAAAAGACAGATTCTGCTTGTCAAATGCTAGCCTCACAGCAAAGAAGTTTACTAAAAGTAGAAGTTTACTATGTTTATTAAATTCCAGGTTCAGTAGAAAAAAAAACTTCCATTGGAGGAAGTGTTTGCACTAAAATCTTTTCTCCTTATTAATACTTGTTGAAATTTTATGTGAAAGTCTTCTTAATGGAAAACTGTAGAGATAAAAGCAAATTGTGGTTACAAAAAAGTACTACATTTAAAGTATGTGAAAATACCGAGTTTGAGTTTTGTGTTCTATGAGCTTTGATGATTACACTGTAAATGACTTAAGGTGTGTTAGTTTCAAATTGAAACTATAGTCAGTGGTATAGTTATAGGACCTTCATGGTGACTTCTTAATCAGTTGACATGTGATCATTGAGCATATACCTGGTGTCTAGCAGTATGCAAGATTCAGGAGGAAAGACATTATTATGTATTTTGCATCATTAACAAGCAGGTTACTGCTTTGCATTTGAAAACTGGGTGTATTTAAAAATAGCTTGATTTCAAATGTCCACATGTTAGGACAGTGAAAATTTGATTACTCTGAAAATAAAGTGTGGTGCCTGTGAAATTCTAAAACAAATTTACAGTGCCCTTTTGCTTACTACATTAGATTAGAGAAATAAAAAATAAATCACACACTTGTCAGTGATGCATCATTTTAAAGATTAGGTATTTTGTGTTATTGATCAATGCATTTCCTGCATCAGGTGCCAGACTTTTTTTTTAAATCACTGTCAGACACTTTACTAATGATATCATTATTAAATTTCCAATATTTTTATGATGTTTCAAAAGATCTGGAAGAAAACATTTTTCAAAGTTGAGAGTTATTACTTCCTATTAATGACTTTTTAGTTAAAAGATAATATATGCCAGTAGCCAAAAATTTAAGAGTTCAAAAGGATACAAAGTAAAATGTATGAGTTATCTTTTTCCTCAAAGCAAGAGATCTTAATTCTTAAGTGATTTAAAGTAACTAGTTAATTTGCCAGTTTGATAGACATCCCATCCAAATTTAGTTAGTATTAGTAAACATAAGACATAAGTGCTTATTAATAGTGTATTATTACTGAGAAATAGCTATTCATCCTATCAAATAGTATGAGGTTTATGATTATGTTGATAGTTTCAGAATATTTCTTCATAACATGATGTAAGCCATCCTGTTCTGTATAAACAATAATGAACAAGGCACTTTAAGAATTTTTTAATCTTTAACATATAAAAATTATTGGTCTTGGCTTGCTACTTTTGTACCACTCTCCTTACTCTGTGTAGAGCAAAATGGCACTATATATTCCAAACTGGAAGAGAAGCTATTTTGCAGCAAGTAGTTTAAATGATTTACCTTTTCCCTTTCTATATGCCCTTGCATTATAATGTGCCACTGCTTTCAAGAGGTAAGTCTTTCTCTATTAATTTCAATTTTGTTGGGCTGCATTTTTTTTTCTAACAGTTCCTCTGTGGTATTTTGAAGAACTTGGCCTTGGAAGATAAAAGATATAATGATATGGTAGTAATGTTTTAAAATGCTTTTCTCTTTGCAGAAAACACAAGTGAAAAAGTTAGTATCCACATTACTGGAGAGAAAATATGGTGATTTATATATGAGTAAACAGCATGAATGACCAATTTTTGCAAAATTAAGTTAAATTTTGCAAAATAGCTATAATTTAGAATAACTACATTTAGTATTTTCAGTAAGTGTGGTTTGCATTGCTCTGTGGTAGTGAATTGCTTTATGGTAATAAATATTAGTGTTTGACTTCTGTTATAAAATGTATGTGGAATTTGCTGTGTAATGGTTTAAAAAAGGGTAATGCTTTGGAGAATGTGTTGCAATGTGTACCAGTCTAGACTGCTAGATGACAAAGTAAAGGCAAAACAGAAAATTTAAATATACAACTAATAATTGGCATATGTAAAGCTGAATTAATTTCCAAATTTATATAACAAAACAAGTGTTTTACAAGTAAAGTCTCTAATAACATTTTTGATTTTTCAAACAATGTTGCTGGAAGGTTTAGACCTCTATATGTGCAGTTGTGTATCACTGGATGATAGAAGGTATTTATACCTTTGAAATTAGTTAAGAGAGATAATTATCAACTTATTATATGTCACAGGCAGTTGGCATAGACATTGGAAATAACTGTAGTATAACTTGAAAACCTTGCCGTTGTATTTGTTGGTGTTGACAGTAAACTGACTGGTGAATACTAACTTTAAATATAGATTAAAATCACAGAAGATAAGAACTTAAAATAGTTTTGTTTTAATTAAGTTATAACTTTTCTGAGCTTGTGCTGAAATTTATCATTACTCAACAGAGAGAACTGGAAATAGGAAATATCTACCCTAGACACACTCGTTAACTATTGGATTATAAGAGCAACTATATTCTAGTGTGGCTGTGGTCTCACTGACTGAATAGTTTCATGTTATATGCAAAAGGAATATTGCACACCAAGGTACTAGAGAAAAATTCCAAACTCTGATTTATTGCTTCTCTATTTAAAGTTAAATTCTTATACACAAAGACTTTGACTAGTTACTAGATTCCAGTGAAACAGCTTGACTTGTGAAGGGGGAAATGGGACTTGGAAAAATAAATTTCAGCATTTAGATTAAATATGTATTTAAGTTTAAGATTCACATTTATTAATTCTTTGGGTATTACTATGCATTGTGCTAGGTGTTTCTAAATACATTATGTGATTTAATTCTCATTTAAACTGAATACTGAGAAGTTACTTAATTTTCTCAAATCAGGCAGCTTGTAAGTGATAGAGCTAAGCTTGGAGCCTACTTTTTTTTGAAATCACATTTTGGTGTGCCTTCCTCTGTATCACCTGTTTGTGAACTGGGCTTATTTGTTACTTTGACTTCGTATTTGTATTTAAAGATTATAGACTTGAGGCTAAATTAAGTGAATTGGGGCTATATGAGTACATAATGTGTATAACTTTAAGTGGGGTTTGATAGTACTTTTTTTATATTGGGCAGTTGAGGGATCTATCCTAAAAACAACCCTGTATTGTATGGTTTTCAGAGTGCCTTCAAATCAATATGTTACACATATCCCCTGGCAACAAGTCTGAAAGAAAAACTGCAATTCATTTCACTGTTGAGGAAAAAGAGGCTTCTTTCTGTAGATTGCAACTTGCCCAGGACAGAGGGGAAGTGGCAATGTACAGCCAGGGTAAAAAGCCAAGTCATCTGACTGTCACATGGGCACATATGCCACTGTGGTATATGATGGGCTGTTCCAGTTAAGCCAATTTTCTAACATGCATGAAAATATTTGGCATATTCAAATTGGTATCTTTATGTTGAAACCAATCAACCCTCCATTTTGCTGTACCTCACCCCACTATAGACATCTTCCCTGAACTCTAAATGTTTAAATATGTATCTAAAATTCTGTTCTGTTGAGAGGTTATTTTGAAAAACTATTTTCCTACTACTTAAAACAGCAAGGCATAGGAGGACATGGTTTGCATTTTGGCTAGAGAAGAGTAAGTATTAGTAAACTATTGAGATCAACTTGCTACTCTGACCCACTCCCATTCAGTGAAACAGCCTTCTGATGGGTTCATGAAACTAACTTTGATGTTTGGAAATATAGCCACACTGCACAGTCTTAGTATTAAACCTGGTAGGTAGTTTTTCTCACTGTGTTATAATGAATTAGAGTTTATATTTTATTTTCTCTGTCCTTAATGGAATATGAATATACAATTGACCCTTAGACAACACTGGTTTGAACTGCACAGATCACTTATATGCAGAATTTTTTCTATAAATATACAGTCGACTCTCCTTATCCTTGTGTTTTGCATCTGTGGACTCAGCTGACTGCAGATTGAAAAGAGTGTTTTTGATCCATAGTTGGGAACCACAGATGTGAAGGGTCTACTGTATGCATTGTTCCATACCACTTTGCATAAGGACCTTGAAGATCTGTGGATTCTCATGTCCAAGGGGGTCCTGGAACCCTGGAGGATACCGAGGAACAACACTATTTTTGGGCAATCAAAAGTTATACATGGATTTTCGACTGCAGGAAGGTCAGCACACCTAACCCCCACTTTGTTCAAGGGTTAACTATATGTTTTCATGATTTTATACTTAATACGCTATGTGAGCGATTTATGTTTTGAGGTTTTCCCTCTTCAGATGTTATTAACCTAGTTCCTTTATTATCAGACACGCCTCTCTGGGTTAATTAGGTCACTGATAATGCAGAGTTTCTACAAATCACTTCTAAACTTGCTGGGATTTGCTTGTGAATGAGCAGTGATAGTGATGGACAGGGGAGTGTATGTAAATTAAATAATAGCCCATTATTTATGACCCTGTGTACTTCCTGTATTTTTCATCAAAGTCACTACATTTTAAAAAATAAGAAAATTCTCAAGTAATCATTTCTTCATAATACATGCTTCAGGATAATTTATGTGCGATTACACTTGCTATTACTATATACTACTTATGTAAGTTATTTTTCTCTTATTTTCTGGTTTTAAAAATAATTCTAAAGTAATTTGTTTCTACATCTTGTATATAATAGTTATTTTAGTCTGTGCCTTCTGTTAGGAACTTAATAGGAATTTGAGTTCATACTAAAAAGAATTTTAAAGACCTAGACATTTTTTTAAATAATGGACTTTTCTCTGTTGGCATTAGTAACTTGAGATTTGAACTAACATTAATATATAAAGTATTTTTTAGTGATTTTGGAAACAAACAAAAATAAAGCATTGTCCAATAATAACAGTGTAACAAAGTTTTGACTAACATTGTTCATTTTCGTCTGTGCTTACACGATTATTTTGAAGCATGATGTTTGTATAACATCTTCATGTAAATTCATTGTTTTGAATGTCTTTATTTCATTTTTATCTTTTCTTCTTTTTTGGTCTCTTCTTTGTCTGTTTTTCATCATCCTGGGAACATCAATGTCTCCTCTACTCTATCACATTTTGTGTGTGTGTGTATTATTTCTCTTTCAGTAACCCTGGCCCCGTGTAAGTACTTAGTAGTTCCTCTTATAATTTTCATCATTGTCTTCTGTAACTGTTTATCTTGCTTTCAACTTACCACTACCAGCAAATTTTGTTAGTATCTTCTCATTGCAAGAATTTTCAAATATGTTAAGGAACCCAAGAAACATGTTTTTCATGATAGAGAACTTCCTGTGAATCAGTACATATATTTAGAGTACCCACAGCTTTGCAGTGGAAAAACTTAATAAGCTAAACCTTAGGGATAGGTAAGTATTATACACAGTGTATATTGGCATTAGAGATGTAGTTTGGACCTTCCTTGTAAATTATTTGTTCTTACTAGTTAATTTTATATTCTATCCAGCATACATTTTTAAGAATAAAATCATTGAGATTATTTCTTTTTCTAATTGTAGTTATCAGAGTCTAGAGTTTCAAAGCCAGAAAACACTAAGTAAATGTTTGGAAACTTCAAATAATTTTAGCACAATTCCTTTGCTGTGATGAATGTCACAGAGTCTAGGGTGTGCTATTATTTTTTGCAAGTGTGTCATAACTAAAAATTATTGTGGTGTTATTTTATTATTCTTGGTGTCTTAATTTGACACTATTGTTTTGTATTTTTATTGACCAAACCTTTTATAGATTATAAAACAGTCTTATAACTGAAATTGGCACCACTTAAGAGTAAAACTACAATCACTAATTATAGAGAAATTTAAAACAATTAAGTTTATTATACAAAAGATAAAACTATAAGTTTAATGGCTAAAATTAAATTATTCCAGTAATTGCATAAGATAAAGTATTATCTACTTAGGAATTTATATCAGTCAAAGATGTGGTTTACAAAGTAATCTGTGCCTGTTCTCATTTTTAAAAATTTTGTCTATTTTAAAAAGGATTAGGTTTTGTTCAATATTAGTAAAAGGTGTTTTAGATATTTCATTTCTGGAATATTACAATTTTACCAAAAATTATAATAAGTATTACTAATTTTCATATAGATACTTTTGATTCTGTTTCTTATATATGCAGATGACTTATAGTCTTAGAACATGCATGGCAAATAATTTTTCTGGTAATAATAAAATAAAACATTATGAGACCAATACTATTAGCTACTGTGGAAAACACATTAAGTACACTATCTATCTTATTCATTCCTCAAAACAACCCATTAAAGTAGAAGCAGTCCCCATCTCTGAGATGGAAAAAATCTAGAGTTGGAAAAATTAAATGACTGGCATAAAACACACTGAGTGGAGGATGTGGTGCCAGAGCTTTTCTTTGTCTGACTCTGAAGACAGTGTTAATGTTAATTCTATCATGTTCTTTACTGGACAAAAACTCTTCTGGCCATACTCTGACAGATCTGATAGTGGCACTATGAAAATGACAATGGGCATGTGGAATATTCTGATAGCACTGTGATTTTCTGGCAGGGACTTACACCTAGCAGGTGTTGCTGCTCACATCTGATACTCTTAGACCACTTTTCCTACTTGGATCTTGTGCCAATAGTCTGCTAGTGCAGACTCAGGTTCCTTTTCCTGTTGTGAAATTAAACTCTAGCCTCCAAAAGTTTGCATTGATCCTATTTCAGGGGGAAGGAGGAGAGATGGAAGGAATATTTATTACATTCACTGGATTTTAAGTTAAAGTGTTAAAATAGTATACTTTGTAAATTCCCCAATATTTATGCTTTATTAAGAGAAAAATAAATGTTCTTATCAAACTCCATGATTTATAAATCCCTTTCACATATATTATTTCATATAATCTTTAGAACAATGTGACTTTGTATGTGATATTCTTGTCTTACGAAAAAGTGGGGGCTTAGGGAAATTGGCCCAAAAGCACACATCTGAAAATCATGGAGCCAAGATTTACATCTTGGTCTTTTGATAAATATTTCATTGGTTTCTGTATGCAATTTTATTAAGGATGTAGGATATCTATCAGTACATATGAATGAGAAACAAGAAAATAACACTTCTGTTCCTTTTCAAAATTGTGTTTGGAATTGCTGGTTTAGCCTGTACCAAACCATTCTTGGTTCCTGGCCTATTGAAGACACAGTCATTTAATTTTGTGAAAGCTCGTACATTTTAGCAGCATGCCGATATTTGGCAGTGATTGTGAATGTAGTTCCTGTCTGTGTTTTGTTAGGCATTAGTTGAAAAATGCAAGTACTTAATTTAAAATTGTTTTATTTTAACTTCTGTGGACTTTTTAATTTCTCCTTGTTTCCTTCTTTTCTTAATCTTTTCTTTTCCTTTTCTTTATGTTGGAAATCTCTTCTGCTGCCTTCTTCTGTCACTTAAAAAGGAAAACCCCACCTAAACGGTAACCTTTCTGTTGAATGTATATACTATTATTTTATATTAGCATACACACACCCTTTTTTTCTAATTTTTTTAAAAAACAGCCTATGGTATTTTAGAAGAATACTCTTTATTAAAAAAATGAGGCTGTGTATGCTTCCAAAAGCAAAATATATTAAAGGAACACAAGATTAAATGTATACATTATAAATAATTTGGCAGAGGGTATTTATCCTTAATATAATTATAAATCTTTTTTTACCCCTTCCTAATTCTAGCCCACCAAGAAAACACATTGTGGAGCGTAATACAGAGTTTTATCACATACCTACTCACAGTGATGCCAGCAAGAAGAGACTGATTGAGGATACTGAAGACTGGCATCCGAGGACTGGCACCACTCAGTCTCGCTCTTTCCGGATCCTGGCCCAGATCACTGGGACTGAGCATTGTAAGTGAATGCCTAGGGACACTAACAGATGAATGTTCTTTGCCATAAAGAAGTAGCATTTAGACAGATAGACAATTATTGGAAAACAGTAATTTTATGCCATACATAATATGGGTATTATAAGTAAGAAACCAGCCCAGGAGAGTTACATCGAAAAGTGTAGAAGCAGTAGTAATAGTAGTACTGATTGTAGTATACAGCCAGTGACAAGATGATAATGGAATTTTTTTTAGTGGCTTTGTGCAACTTGACCATTTGATACTGATTGGTGCATGTAATTACTTGAGTCAGCAGTTTTCAATCTTTTTCATCTCATGGCACACATAAACTAATTGTTAAATTCTGTGGCACACCAAAAAATATGTTTTTTGCTGATCTGACCAAAAAAGTATAATTTTGATTCATTCACAATGACGGCTGTTGTGTTGGCTGTTGTTATTTTGTTTTGTTTTGTTTTTAAAGATTTTATTTATTTATTTTTAGAGAGGGAAGGGAGGGAGATAGAGAGAGAGAGAGAAAAACATCAATGTGAGGTTGCTGGGGGTTATGGCCTGCAACCCAGGCATGTACCCTGGCTGGGAGTCGAACCTGCGACACTTTGGTTTGCAGCCCGCACTCAATCCACTGAGCTAAGCCAGCCAGGGCTGGCTGTTGTTATTTTTTATTAGACAATCTAAGGGAAAAGATGTCAGTGCCCCTGACTAAATAGTCAGGTATTATATGTTTTAAAATTTTTTGCAGTGCACCAGTTGAAAATCACTGGCTTAAGTGATTTTAAAGTTTAAAAAGCAAGCTAATATTGGATATCACTTATTATATTTCAGTGAAGGAATCCGAAACTGATAATACAAAGAAGGCTAAGTAAGTTGTCCATTTTTATTTATTTTGTAAATTGAATACTTTCCTTTCATGAATGTTCTGTTTGTTTTTGTTTTTTACATTTTCAAGTGTAATGGTATGACATTTTGTCTTCGCAACTAGAAGCTAAGCATTTGATTTTGGTGACTTTTGTGGAACTTATATGAACAACTTATAGATTTTATAATTAGTAGATATTGTCTGGATTTTATGTCTAAGGTTTATTTTCTTTAATATTGAAATAAGTGGGCAGAAGGGTATGTTTTGGTTGCTTTGCTAACATTATAGTCTCTGAATGTGTTTATGTGATCTTGTAGTCACTTAATTTTGGTCATAAAAACTGCCACTGCTCTGTAGATTAATTTCTATATTTCTAAGTATGCTCTACCCTTAAAGTCTTTTGCTATTAAATAAAACAGCTCTGTGAAACTAAACTTTTATAAGGCATGTTTTCTGCATGATGAACGAAGTGTGATGACTTTTTGTGCTCTGTCTTATGACTCTTCTATCACTTTTCTTTTTTTCTTTTCTCTCTCTTTTTTTTTTTATTTCCACAGGGAAAAGATACCCCTTCACGTCTTTAGTCCCAAATACACAAAATTACGTGACTGGCACCATGAAGTTTCAGCACGTGCTCTTAACGTACAGTGATTTATGAGTTTTGCCCCCTCAAGCAGCTAGCACATACCTTTTTGTTCACTTTTTCTTTTTTTCCAACTTCATAGCAAAATCTGTATAATATTTGCCTTATGAAAAAAAATAGAACCTTTTCTATACTTCCCTAACCATTTTCTGACTTTATGACAATAAGGAGGATGAACATGGTAGATGGTAGCTCACAGATGTTAAACCAAGAAAGTATATTAAGGGACTAAATCTGTTCACTAGATTTACATCTGTTTCCATTGTTATCAGGGTAGTACTGTTGGAAAAAGTTCTTTTTGTAAGTTGAATTGGTTTGGGCATTTGAAGCAGAGGTAGATAAGCAAATATGTCCTCATCTAATTTGGAAAATACTTCCTTTATGGTACTACACTTCCCAAGATTACTTTTGTTATTATATAATGTTCAGAGTGGGTTATGAATTAAAACAAGAAGTCTTTATTAGAATAGAGTTCATTATAGATTTGGGTATCTTTTCAAGCACATACTATATAAGATAGCTATATAAAGAGGAACAAGTCTAGATTTGGCTCCTAAAAAGGAAAGAAGAGAATTCTGCCCCTGTTTGCGATGGGGAAAAATACACTGTTGTTTTGGTTTGGTTAATTTAAAAAACCCAGTTTTCTACCAAAGGAAATATTTCTAAGCTGGTAGATGTTACTAGGATATAGACAACTTCTAGGCATTAACTAGTAAGATATAGAAAAGATAGATTTGCTTTGTTTTTAAATCAAAGGAATAAACATAAAAAAATGCAATATGAATGATGCTTTATGCAACATCAGAGAAACATTTAAACTGTTGTGCATTGCTGCTATTCCTAGGAAGTGCTCTTTTGGGAAATACATTCAGCTAAATATCTGACCAGAAATGCTTTCTGTCTTGTAATATAATGTATTATATATTAGATATAAATGCAATAATAAATGCATTTTGAGGTTTGGAAAAGTATTGTAATAAAGCTGCCTTTAACTTAGCTTTGTACCTTGTTTTCTGTTTCCTTGAACCTAGTACCAGTGCTATCCAAGATTTGTTACAGTATTACTTGTATAAAATAAATATTATCTTGACCTTTCATTTTGGAAACCTTTTTAATTCTTGAGGTGACTAAAATGTGAGTGTGGAATATGACAAAGGCCCATATATTTAATCCCCCCCCAGTTGTTACATGAGTTAGCATAACATCTTACGTAACATATCAGATCAGTTAGACGGAGGCCTCCAACCAGGCCCCAGAGGAGGAGGTGAGCTTGAGTGTAATATCGTTTGAATCATCCCGAAACCATCCTCCCACCCCCCACCCCTACTCTGGTCCATGGAGAAATGGTCTTCCACAAAACCAGTCCCTGGTGCCAGAAAGGTTGGGGACTACTGAATTAGACAATGGCACAACCTAGAATTAGTCTTTGTGTGAAAATGATTACTGAAAGATCTTACCTGCATTAAAGGTTCTATTTTAATTTTCCCATATACTTTTTATCATTGACTGGGACAACTGCCTGATTATTTGGAGAAATTAACATTAATTGCAGTTAGTGATTACTATTTAAAATGTGGCATGCCAATGCATTTGAGAAATAATTCTAGGATTTATCTACGCTCATTTCCACTCTACTTCATAAGATATTAAAATGTCTTTCTTTTACTTCATCAGTTCTTTAGATAGTGCAGTAATGATCCTGTATCATTTATTATCCTGACATCGGTACAACTTAAACTGTGTCTCTGGCCTGTACAATAAATTAGGTATAGGCTTTCCTGTACTTAATAATTTCTTTTTGATCTCAAAAGATAATGTTTGAAAGAAGATAGAATCAAAACCTCATGAAAATTAATTGTGTGGGTAGAGTGAATATGGTATTTTCTACCAAGAACCATATTTCTAGAATAACTACGGAGTTGAGAGGAGGAACTATTAGAGAATTTTAGGTAAATAAAAGAACTTTTTCTTAATCAAGACAAGAGAATTGTGTATAGAACTTTATAACTTGAAATAGGTGCAGGTGAAAATAAGAATTTAATACTTTGTCTAGTTGAAAATAAAGTATTTCATGTTGCACTGAATGTATAAACTTAGATAAATGTAATGGTCCATATTGAGCATTTGGGTAAATGTTTAGCCAGGATCACAAAGGACATTCCATTTGACCCTGTCAGAGGTTGAATTCCTAAACTTACTTAATCTCCTGGGACATTTTATATTCCCAGCTTACAAGCTAGCCAAAAATTATAAAAGCTTCTTGCAAAAATATTATTGTAAGTCTAGCGACTTAATTTATAGCTTGTTTTTGTTTGTCTCTCTTATACAGACTTTCTTTAATGTAGGCTTGTTTTTAATGTAAAATTGGAAAGTTATTCTTAAGAATTTTCAACATTTTTTTCTTAAAACGCTTTAGCAGTCAGAAGATGGAGTGTCTCCCACACAGTCTGTAGTTTTGTTACCTCAAAGAATACATGTTTGTGGAAACAGAATGCATCCACAAATACATTATTTGTGGAAAATATACTCATTTTGTACATCATCATGTCCTTTAGGAAGATTCAGATATAGAATACCTTAGCTTGTTAAAAAAATTGATATTAAGATAGTAGCAAAAGCAGTCCCTTTTAAAATTCAAATTTAGACATATAGAATAAATTTATTTCCTTCAGACAAATAATATTGCAATTGTTGTGTTTCTGATGTGTATTTAAAATCATATAAATCACAAACATTCATTGCCTGCATTCATTTTTTTCACATGAATAATTATTGAATATTTAAATACCAGGCACTGACATGTGCTAGGGATTCAATAATGAATAACAGATAAATATTATAAACAAGATGATATGAGACAATTATGTTACCAAGATAACATAAGTTAACATAAAGGAAATTTGGCTAAGGCAGGGAGGGAGTAGAGTACTTAGTGTAGACCTCTGAGGAGATCCCCTTAGTGCCATCACCTGAGAGAGGAAAGGGGTCAGTCACGTGATACCTGGAGGTCGGTGTTCAAGACGAAGAAAAGCAGTGTGGAAATCCTGAGGTGGGAAGGAACATGGCAAGCACAGAACCGAAGGCACAGTGTGCCCCAAAAGCAGTGTATGAAGGGAAGCATGGTATAAAAACATAATATTTATGCACATAGGCAAAGAACCTATATTCTCATTACTAACATGGCATTTTAAATGGGAAATTGTCTTATTATCATATCTAACCACTTTCGAATAAAATTAGAAAATGAGGAACCAAGCAGATTAATCAATTTACTAAATAAACACTCACCTAGTTAGTCTCAGCACCTAGCATAGTTATCAATTTAATGCCTTTCCCATTCAGGCTTATTGAAAACCTAGAAAAAGCAGACATTTAACACAATGCATGTTGGTAACATACAGGTAGGAAACACAGAGCCATTCAAAAACAAAATGTTCATGTATAGAAATTTGATATATAATGCCCTATTTATAATTTAGTGATGCATTTGACCATTTAGTACTCTCTTTGTAAACTTTCCTAGATGTCTGGATTCATTACTTTTGTTTATCCCATTAAAGAATATTCCTTAAACCAAGTAAATATTTCCTTGCTCATTCTTCCCAAAGTAGACATCCACATTTTATTTTACATTTTTCTGGTTACAATAGTAAAAAACATGGAATGGTAAATTCTGGGTTTTATACTCAGGTTTATAACTGACTGACTCCTTTTTGCCCCAGAGTTTCCACTTTAAAATATGAAGTTAGAATCAGTAGTAGGCACTGTGATGCCCACCCAGATCGTGCCTCAGTAGAGGCTGTGATGCCACTGTTGCTGGTTTTAGAGGGGGTAAGAGAGCAGGAGTCAGCACCTTCACATAGCACCTCCACTGCCAACAGTGCTGCTGCAGTATTGCTGCCTCCCTGCGGCTGTCCAGAAGCGTGGACCTGTTTGGAGGGCAGAGAAGGTGAAAACTGGTCATTGCATCCCAGGAAGGGACAAATTAGAAGGGCCATTCTCGATCCCACACTTCCTTTCTTTTCCCCTTCCATAGGTGTTGATCTTAGAGGTACTTATTAATAAGCACCCTACATGCTAAACTCTGTCTTGGCGTTTGCTTTCTGGAGAACCTGATCTGCAACAGAATCATAATCTTTTAAAAACTTTTTGTTTTAATCTTTATTGAATTTATTGGGGTGACACTGGTTAACAAAATTACATACATTTCAGGTGCACAGCTCTACAACACATCATATGTACACTGTATCATGTGTTTACCACCCCAAGTCAAGTCTCTGTTCATCACCATTTATCCCTCCTTTACCCTCTTCTACCTCTCCCCACCTCATCTCTCCACCCTACCTCCTCCAACAGTCAC